AAAAAAAGGCGGCTCTTTTTGTTTTTCTCGTATCGATAAACCCTTTTCCATCCGGGCACTTTTACCCCTTCCTGCCCAGGCCATTTTTCAGGTTTCAGCGCTCTCCACATTTTCAATGACAATTCGCTCGGTCATACCACACATTTGTAACCCAAAACAAACATTTCAATCGTTTTCCTACACACAACTAGAGCTTTTTTTGGTGGTATTTAATCACCGCTGGTTTTATTTTGCTAAAATAAACCAAAAAAGACCGAAAATTTAAAAACAAAACACGGTTTTTCTTTGTTCTGTTATAAAAAGTTTCCGCAAATCCGTAATGGTTCTTCATAAATTTAGTGCCGAGATGTATTCTGCACATGTTTTGTGTGTGAAAATAACCCAAATTAGGATGTATTTTTTAGTTTGTAGGAAAGTGATAAGAGTTTCACAAACTCTGGAATAGGTCTGAATATTGAATCACGTCCTGAAGTAGAGAACAGCCAATCTAATTTCTTGTGAGGCCACAAGAATGTCATAACAGTACAGATATTCCGCCAAAATGAACCCCTTTTTTGTAAAGTAGACAGTACCGCACTGATTTATCATAATAGCCATGGCGAGTTTTATGAAGTTGTTTTTATTTTTGTCCCCGAATTTTTCAGCAAATGAAAAAAATGATAGTGTCACATTTATTTTTTTTTTACATAATGTCACCAGTGCAGTACAGCGTCATCCTATAACTGGCATAGCGGTGATCAGGGACACTGACTGGTGACAGTATGGGAAAAAAAAAAAAAAAAAAAAATCATTTTTTTTACTTTATTATTTTTATTATTGTTCTTTTTTTATTACATTTTTTTTTCTTTTCTTCAAGATTTTCTTTTCATATTTCCCTATGACCAAAGTAGTACAATGTTACCACAGTAACATTGTACTACTTTGGGGAAGTGATCAGTATTTTTTTTTTTTTCTTTTCTTACACAATTTGCTTATAGCAAAGACTTCCTTTGCTATAAGCAAGCATTTACCTGAATGACATCGATTCATTCAGGGGTTTTCTTTTTTTTTTTGTGCTCAGCTGTGATCTGGCCACGGCTCATCACATGACATGTGCATGTGATCGCTGTGACGATTCACAGCTAGACACTATAGAAGACAATGGATGGCATGCATGAAGCCACCCATGTTGTACAAACTGTCATGTGACCTGCTGTTGATTGGTCACAGCGAGGTCACATGGTACCATCAACGGGGCCGTACTGCTCGGATCTGTCATCGGCCGTGTCCGTGGTACACGGCCGGTGACAGATCGCGCTGCTGCGCCGCTCTGCAGTTTGCGCAAACTGAGCATGTGCGGGAGCACGCCAAACGGCGTGCACCCGCCATGCAGAAGCACTTTTGCCGCTGCCAAACGGCCAATGGCCGGGCGGCCAAATGGTTAAATTAAAAAGACACACAATGGCATCTCATTCCATGTAATGACTAAGGACTCCCAGTCCACTCTCTAATCGATCTCATGGTTAATCTGGACCCGTGGATCTGTACCACTGCATCTTTAAACATCTTCTGCGTCCTTTAAAACATGCTCGATGGAGTACCAAATAATACACGTATAAAGAGAAGGGGAAGCCTGTCATAGTGTAAGTAAAGTTAATGAAGAAAAAAACAATAGAAATGTACGTACATTAAAATTTATAACAAGTATGGTATTACAAACTAGGAACACCGGTTTGCGCTCAGCATGCCCCCCCCCCCCGTTTTTTTGTTCCAACAAGCAGAAGTGATGTGTCCCAGAAGCCCCGACCCACGTATTTCATCACTTCTGACGTCATCCAGACGTAATTGACAAACGCGTAGGTTGGTGTTTCTAGGATACATCTCATTCACCTCTGCAGGCATAGGTGTTATGAATTTTATTGTTCGACTTCAAAAGTTAAAGCAGCACTGGCATTGCAGCTCTTTTCTCCCCCTCTAGTGTAAAGAAACACCAGGTGCTTTTAAGATGTTGTGGGCTAGGGGTTTGGGGTGTGGGGATAATGGGGGGGGTTAGTTCACAGAGCGGGGAGTTGGGACAGGGAGGGATCTCTCCCCAGTCCTCACACCACTGAGCCTGTAAAGGTGCATATGTCACCTTGCTTATGCATGGTCCAGCAAAGATTTGTTACAAGAGGAGTTACACAATCTAGTCATGCCAATAGAGCCATTTTGTGGGGAATTCTTACTTGTGCCATTCTGTATCGCAATCAGGTCCTCCATTGATTTCCCCAATTTTTTTCTCCATTCAGATGGTGATCGGAGGTTGGTTGGTGCTGTTTCCAAATGATAGGAATACAACTTTTTGGTGCACTCATCAAGAGTGGAACAATGAATATCCATAGGTCATACTTGAAATCTCGTAATGGTGTAACATAACATAAAAAAGGCCAGATTCTGAGGGATCTCATAGTTTTGGTGAATTTTTGGGAAATCCAATGTACCACCGAACACGAAGTTCTGAAGCTTACTACAGGACCAAACAATAAGCAAAATGTGTCCTTGCTGCTGTCTCCAGCACATCTTTGTACATTGTGAGAACATTTTGTGACTCTTGTGGGGGTTTATAGTACCATCAAAATTTTTAAATCCGGACTCTTTGGTATCTAGAGAAATTTGATGTTTTGTATGTAAAGAAAAGAATTCTTTCAATCTGGTTATCAGAAAAAGAGGTGCAAAGGCCAATATATATGGAGGTGTCCCTTAGTTTTTCTGAGTTGAAAAACAAACATCATCTGATGACTTACTGAGTGCAAAGGTGCAAAGGTACCATTAGTCCTTGTGTCATACCAACAGTAAAAGTATCCTGAGACTAATCATGTGTGGGGTGTCCTTCTCAGGCAAAGTGGGGAGTGGGGTCATTCACAATTTTGCAAGAACACAGCCATGAATAAAGAATTACACAAAAACATCCTCCGAGAGCAACTTCTTCCCCAACTTTCCAAGAACAGCTTGGTGGCGAACAATGCCTTTTCCAGCATGATGGAGCACCTTGCCATAAAGACAACAGTGATAAACTAAGTGGCTTGGGGAACAAAACATTGAAATTTTTGGGCCTGTGGCCAGGAAACTACCCAGACCTTAATCCCATTGAAAAGTTGTCAATCCTCAGGCGAGTGAACAAAAACACTCCCCACAAATTCACACAAACTCCAAGCATTTGATTTTTTGCAAGAATAGGCTGCCCCCATCAGTCAGGATGTGACCCAGACAGTTGATTGACAGCATGCCAGGGCGAAATGCAGAGGTCTTGAAAAAGAAGGGACAACACTGCAAATATTGACTCTTTGCATAAATAATGTAATTGTCAATAAAAGCCTTTGACACTTATGAAATGCTTGTAATATTACTTCAGTATACCATAGTAACATCTGACAAAAAGAACACTAAAGCAGCAGGCTTAGTGAAATGATCTGTCATTCTCAAAACTTTTGGCCACGGCTGTAATGTGTGCAGCACTAATGTCAGGGCAAGGCATACTTGATTATGTTCTCTTTTTAGCATATCATTTTATTCTGTATTTATTACAGTGCTATATTGGAGTAACTGAGCTGTTGTAATAATAAGTTTGAGTCTAGAATTAGTTTATTCTTCTTTTAGCCCACTATATGTATTTATTTTGTAAAGCAGTCCACAAGCCTTGCTGCATTGTTTTAAATCTACCATTGTAATATATTTGTTTCAATAACTTGCAGGTTGAAGAATGAAACATTCTCAGTTGATGATGCCAACGGAATCATGTAAGTATTTTTACTTCACTTTCAAATATTTCATTTTTAAAGCAAAACACATCCACCATTTTTTGAGGGGGGATAAGAAAATGGAAAGTATATCAAACGTTTTAATATGAGAATATGAACAATTTTAAGAAAAAAACTAAGGTACTTTGAAATTGATGCAGGAAGACATCTCAAAAAAGATGGGACAGGGCAACAAAAGGGTGGCAAAGTAAGTGGTACTAACAAAAAGAGAGTGGAGAAACATTTTGCAACTAATTAGGCTAATTGGCAACAGGTCAGTAACATGACTGGATATAAAAGAGCATCTTGGAGAGTCAGTATCTCAAAAGTAAATAGGGGTAGAGGTTCACCAATCTGTAAAAAGCTGCTTCTAAAAATTGTTGACAAATGTTTCTGATTGTAGAACTGGTAATATATCATTGTATACGGTACACAATATCATCAAAAGACAAAAAGAATGTGAGGCAGAAATGCAATATTGGATGCCTGTAATCTTTGGGCTCTCAGATGGCACTGGCATGCCATACCATCCAAGAAGGCAAGGTAAAGCTGATATCCAAGTTTTAGAGCAGCACATCGCATCCAGACAACATCTTTTTCAGGGAAGGCCTTGCATATTTCAGCAGGGCAATGCTAAAGCGCATACTGTATCTATGATAACAGCATGGCTTTGTAGTGGAAGAGTCCAGGTGCTTAACTAGTTGCCGACCGCAGATAGCCGAATGATGGCTGCACTGCGGCCGGCCAGTTCTGGGTGGACGTCATGACGGCCTCCCAGAACGCGCTCTCCTGCACGCCTCAGGGGGCGCGCACCCGGCGATCTCCGTGATCGCTGTGTCCTACGGACACAGCTGATCACGTGATGTGGTAAAAGGCCGATCACAGCGGCCTTTTACCACGTGATCAGCGCTGTCCAATGACACACTGATCAGAGGGAAATGCAAGTGCCGGTTCTCGGCTGCACTTTCCTCACGCTGTCAGATCATGAGGAAAGTACTGCCGAGAACCGGCAGTTGTCAGAGCAGGGATCGGCACCGATCATCAGGGCACTGATGATCAGTGCCCTGATGATCCGTGCCCAGCAGTGCCACCCGCAAGTTCCGCCCACCTGTGCCCAGCAGTGCGCCCACTAGCTCCGCCCACCTGTGCCCAGCAGATCATCCACCTGTGCCCAGCAGTGCACCCACCTGTGCCACTCTGCAGTGTCACACACCTGTGCCCAGAAGTGCCACCCGCCTGTGCCCACCAGTGCCACCCACCTGTGCCCACCAGTGCCACCCACCTGTGCCCACCCACCAGTGCTGCCCACCAGTGCCATCCACCAGTGCAGCCCAGCAGTGCTGCCAGTCAGTGCCCAGGGGTTGTGCCAGTCAGTGCCGCCAGTCAGTGCCCAGCAGTGATGCCAGTCAGTGCCGTCTATCAGTACCCATCATCAGTGCCGCCTATTAGTGCCGCCTATCCGTGACACCTCATTAGTGCTGCCTATCAGTGCCTCCTATCCGTGCCACCTCATTAGTACTGCCTATCAGTGCCCATCAGTGCCGCCTATCAGTGCCCATCAGTGCTGCCTCATCAACGTACATCAGTGAAGGAGAAAAAATACCTGTTTGAAAAATTTTATAATAGAAACAAAGAAACGTTTTTTTTTTTTTCAAATTTTTTGCACTTTTTTTTATTTATAGCGCAAAAAGTAAAGCGCCCAGCGGCAATTAAATACCACCAAAAGAAAGCTCTATTTGTGAGAAAAAATGATCAAAATTTCATACGGGTACAATGTTGCATGACCGCGCAATTGTCAATCAAAGTGCGGCAGCGCTGAAAGCTGAAAATTGGCCTGGTAAATAAGGGGTATAAGTGCCTGGTAGGCAAGTGGTTAACCACTTAAGGTCCCGCCTATAGCAGTTTTACTGCTACAGGGCGGCCCTCCTGGGCAAAATCACACATATATATAGTATGTGATTTTACTTCCGCCATAAGGGGGCCACTTAAGGTCCTCCCTATAGCAGTTTTACTGCTACAGGGCGGTCCTCCTGTGCAAAATTACGTGTGTGTGTGTTTATATATGAGAGAGAGAGCGCACATTTAGAATGCATATAATGTCATGTTGTACTGTTGTGTACCACCAAAAAGGAGAGCACACATGAATAGATCTATTTACACACCATGAATTGGTAAGCATGATTAATAATGACATAGATTAAAATGATTGAAATCGGTTGCTAATAATACATAGGGAAATTCATGACCCTTTCAAAGGTGTATCTCCCGATAGCAATTGCATAGTAAGTGGTTATGACTATACGTTAAAGCAGGTACCTTAATTGTCCATGTATATGGCCCATACATATCCCCCATCAGAGCCCCCCCCCCTCACATCTGATTCCCTCATTAGAGCCCTCTGTATATCATATTCCTCCATCGGAGCCCCCCCTACATCAGATTTCCCCATTAGAGTCCCCAGTACATCAGAACCTCCATCCTCCTCTTACATCAGCTACCCTTACATCACCTCCCCCTTACATCATATCAGAGCCCCCCGTACATCAGATTCCCTCATCAGAGCCCCCCATACAACAGATTCCCCCATCAGAGTCCCCAGTACATCAGATCCTCTATCAGAGGCCCTTACATCAGCTCCCCCTTACATCATATCCCCCATCAGAGCCCCCCATCAACTTTTAGACTCACTCCATAGAGCCCGGCAGGTAGGCAGCGGAAGCTGGGAAGCCGGGGAAGAGAAGCAAGCGGCAGGGTAGGGTACACAACGTAATTGGTTGCTATGACAACAGCGGTCCTAACAAGCAATGATTGCAGATTCCTGAGGATTCAGAGCAGTGGAATGGCTGGCTAACGGTCTGGAGTTGGACTATCAGTCAGTCCACCATTGGCTGCGCTGAAGCACATCTCACTGCCCTCGGGCACCGCCGAAAGAGGAGTCTGTCACTTCTACACACAGAAGCCGGGCTTTTGTATATGCAAGTGACAAGGTATCAGTTTTAAGTATTGGTGCATTTGCACGAGTACCAATACACATGCAAATGTTTTCGTATTGGCACTGATACCGGTATCGGTATTGGTGCAACCCTAATATTTTTAGCACTGATCACTGTTTTAGTGTCACTGGTTCCCACAAAGTGTCAGTGTAAAAACATCGGCCACAATATTGCAGTCCCAGTATAAGTCACTGAACGCCACCATTACTAGTATTGAAAAAAAACAAATTCTAGTATATGTCCCATAGCTATAACGTTTTGCGCAAACTAGTCAACATACGCTTATTGGGATTTTTTTAACCAAACATATGTAGCATAATACATTTTGGCCTAAAGTTATGAAGAAATTAGATTTTTTTTTTTTTAGATTTTTTATTGGATATGTTTTATAGCAGAAAATAAAATATTGTTGTTTTTTTTTTCAAAATTGTCTGTTTTTTTGATTATAACGCAAAACTGTAAAAAAATGCAGAACTGATCAAATACCACCAAAATAAAGCTCTATTTGTGGGGAAAAAAATGACATAAATTTCATTTATGTACAGCGTTGCATGACCGTGCAATCGTCTGATAACCGCATAAGTACCGCCCACAGTACTTTACTGCTGTAGGGTGGCGCCTGTGCGCAAGATTACGTATATATATCTGATTCGCGCTCCCGTGGTTTTCGCGGGGGCGCACGCGCACCCCCGCCGACCCACTTGTGCCCAGATTTTATCCCCGAGGGATCAATCATCTGCTTTAGGCCAGTGATGTCCGGCCCAAGTTAGCTGATCGATCCCTGTCCTATCCTGTCCTGAGTTGACAGTTACACAGGACAGGAAGTGATGAAATCTTCTCTCTCTGGGCGCATTCCGTCTCAGAGAGAGAAGAATCAACAAACTGGGCAAAAGCACTACACAGTTACAGTTAGAACACTCTAGGACACATTTGACTCCTTGATCTCGCCCCCCCCAGTTAACCCCTTCACTACCCTGTCACCAGTGTCATTAGTACAGTATACAGATTTTTTGCTGATCACTGTATTAGTGTCACTGGCGACTTCAAATAGCGCTAGCGTCAGCGCCCCTCCCAGATAGCATCAGTTTCCCCGTTTAGTACACCAGCAATCACATTTAACCCCTTGATTGCCAGGAACACGCTCACATACACAATAAACCTCCATTGATAGTAGTTTCTGAACTGATCAATATCTTTGATCAGATCAGCACTATACCAGCGTTCACATTAGCGTTCCCAAAAACGCGGCGTTAGCGGGAGCAGCCCCAGCACCTGCGTTTAGCACCTACACTTACCCCCCCCCCCCCTTCTTACCCAGCAAGTGCAGTGTCAGTAGGTCACTGTCACTTGATACATTGCACACAAAAGTTATAGGGGATATTTGCATTCACTGTGATAGCTTTAACAGTGATAAAAAACAAAAAGCACCCATGCCCCTCCATGCGAGCGTTGACCCCCGTGCCAGTATCAAGAGCAGTAATTTTAGCACTAGACCTCCTCTGTAAATCTAAAATGGTAGCTTGTAAAGGCTTTTAAAGCGTTGCCTATGGATATTAAAAATGTGTGCTGTTTGTCGCCATTGTATGGGGCATGCGCAGTATGTCATGTTTGGTATCTATTTACTAGGCATGCCATCATCTTTTTATATTTTACCAAATAATTGGCCAATATATTGTGTTTTGTGCATTAAAAGTAAAAAAAAAAAGTATCTTCAAAAAATTTGCGTTTGAAAAATCACTTTTAAATGGGGATAAATGTGTCCTAAAGTGTTCTAACTGTGTAAGTGTGCTGTTTTACCCACTGTGTGTCTCGATTCTTCTCTCTCTGGGACGGAATGTGCCCAGAGAGACAAGATGTCATCATTTACTGTACCTGTGTAACCGTAAACACAGGTACAGGAAGATCCCTGATAGGACGGGGATCGATTATCCGACTTACGCCGACCATCACTGGCCTAAGTCAAATGATTGATCCCTCGGGGATCAAATCACGGCACCCATGGGTTTGCGGGGGCGCGTGCATCCCCCTGGTCCGCAAAAACCGCGGGAGCACGACTCGCGTATATATTTGTGATTTTGCGCACCCGTGCTGCCCTGTAGCAGTATTTCTGCTATAGGGCAGCACAGAAGCAGTTAATGGCAATTCCAGCACTGGCTGTCAGAACTCCATACATGGAGGGGCTGATACTACACTTTGGATTCTTCAGTGCAGGCTGCAGCTCAGGTGAATACAATTGAGCTGGAGATTGCTGTACCTACTTGCTTTCACCTGTGTTTGTTCTTAGGTTTTCTCCTAGCCTAAAATCTGTCACATTGGGCCCCTGGTTTTTAACATAATAAAGAGGTAAAATATATATATAAATTTATATATAAAACTTCCTAGACATTCATTTTAAGATTCTAGATCTCATTCAATCTCACAATGTAGTGGCATGTATTGTTTTGCAGTCATAGGGGTTCCTAATGCTGTGTACATTGCCTTTGTACCATAGTTTATGGCATCTCTCTGATGTCATATTTACAAATAAATGAATTGCCACGCATCGTACAGTGAGCTCCTTTTAATATACTGATTTGTGCAAAGTTTATTGCAGCAGTGGATACTGCTCTTTAGTATATCTCTGTGTTTGTATGCTCATTTTGTCATGCACAATGAAAGGGAGTCCTTCTCTGGCTTTCATAGTAGAAGTCTGTTTTAGATTTGTTTGCATATTACAACACACTATATTTCTTTTCCAGGAATTCTTCTAAATTATGGTTATCGGGGTGCTCTTTCCTAAGACAGAAATGATACATCTGGGGTAACACCATGGAAAAGGCAGTAAATTCATCGGAAACCTCACCTTCTAAATCATCTCAGGTTTCAAGGAAAGAGACTGAATCAACCAAAGACGCAGATTCCAGTAAAACGCAAAAGGGAAAAAGGGTTGGCTTTGTATTGGTGCATGCAGGTAAGATAGAAAGCTAGAGCAGATATTAATATTTCCTAGTATCACCTATTACTGAATGTTTCTAACCATGCAAAGTTGTTTATTTTTATTTTATGTATTTTTTTTGTGAAGTAGAGAAAGATTAGACCCCCTTACTTTTGTTGTTTTTGTCCCTGCTGGGGAGATTCACTCTCTGCAGTTGTCTTGGTGATCACTGCCAGCAAGAGGGAAAGTGATGGTAAATTCAAAATCTTACAAATGCTGCAATAGGGGGGGGGACTTCCAATGGATTAATCATTACTGAAAACAGCTTTGTAGAGATTTCCTCTCATTTCCATTTTTGCGTGTCTAGCACAGGAATTGAAGAAAAATCTCTCCAATGGGGCACAGGCAGCAAAAAATACGATATTAACCCTTCTCTACTCTCTCTCTTAAACTAAAAAATGATGGTTTGGGTATACATTCTCGTTAAGGTAAG